TCATGAGAAAGCAATGCAACAGGATGCATCAAAAAACTTAACTCTTCCAAAGCAGCGCTCACAGACACTGAAGTGGATGAGTTGCCAGACAATGAGCTTGTGAAACAGACAGTTAAAATGCCTGATAAGATCAGAGGAGGAATAAATACATGTCTGAAGGACCCAGTTACTAAGAAGATCAATAAATTGAAAGCGGATGTAAATAGCAGCTGAAAGTATAAATCTCTAAGGTTATCAAGATCTTAAAGAAGGTACTAATAAGCATCTGAATGAATTAGGGGAGATGATGCCAGACATAATAGAGGGACTAACTCTTTACTTCAGTAAAGTAGTAGAGACTAGGACAAGGAATCAAGCAGAAATCCTGCAAATGAAAATCTAGAGTGCTTTGGCAATTGGCAAATGTGATGCATTGACCAAAGGTGGTCAACTCGCAACACCCAGCTGAAGTGAACCAGCGCGATGCTGGGTGTGCGAGGTCCACCTCAGGATTGCTGCTGGCAGCATAAGAAGCAGAGCTGGAGGAGAAGAAGAAGAGGAGCTGTAGGGAGCTGTTGGGAGCTGTTCGTTCTTTTGGAGGAGCTTGTCATACTGGTCCTTCTGATGAACTTGGCTATTCTCATTATCGAAGGAGCTCAGCACCATACTGTTGCTGAAAACAGCTACAGTGCACATTGAGGGAGTGCTGGTCCTTACTTTAAGCATTGCTTCTTGGCTCCAGAGGGGAAGATGGTGCACTGTTCAGTGACGTGGAGAAGCTTGTCACACTGCCATCCTATATAGACTTGGCTATTATCATGGGAGGAGCTCAGGACCTCACTGTTGCTGAACATGGCTCTGGTACTTTTCCAGGAGCAAGGGGGTGTGTGTGCTGGTCTTTACTCTGAGTGTCGCTTCCTGGCTCCAGTGCAGATCCCTCAGCCTGCTGGCACAGATTGCTGATCCTTTTGGCACAGACTTTCTGGTGTCTACTGCTGACCTTTGGGCCTCTCCAGTGCAGATCCTAGAAATAAGTCTGCATGAGACACTGCCATGGGCTCTTGGACCCCAGTTGGACTCATGGGGTTATGGGCTCTAGGTCTTTGGCTGGACTCGTGCAGGACTTTGCCATGGGATCCAGGCCCTCAGCTGGATTCTATTGGTCTTTAGGGTGTGGACAGATTTCCTGGCCTCTGTTTGTATATGTTTCTTTGGGTGACTATTGTAAAATACTTCCATAAATTATGTGTCCTGTATTGTTCCCCTTGAAATACTTGACTACAACAGCAAGATCAGACAGGAGACAGAATGTCAGGACTAGAGGGTAATCTTGATAA